GCTATAAACCATTTATTATGTACAGCTTTTTAGAATCCATATGCATATTTTGAATCTTAGAAATTAGTACTCTACTTCAGTCAAGTCACAGAGAAAAAGAAAAGAACACACTTAAAACACCCACCTAGTACAGTCCCTAGTTAGGAAGAGTTAGGAAAATGTAAGTGGTTGTCATTTTAAAAACAGGTTCTGCTGGTCTATCTGCACAGAGTGGTGAATACATGAGCTGTGTGATATTTGGCAAGTCAGTGTCTCTCTCTGGACCTTGGTTTCTTTTTGTATAAAGTGGGGTATTCCTAAGGTCCCTTCCAGTGATGTCAGTCCTATCATTATTTAGCATTTGTAGAAGAATGTATCTTTATGTTCTGTCATTCTTCCAGGGGGTAGTTTTAGTAAAACACTCTTCTGGCATTTGTGCACTCCAGAATTTAGGTTTCAGCTTACAGGATAAACATCAGGTACTGCTGAAAGTTTCCCCATCTAGAAGGTCAAGCTACTCATCTAAGAAATGCAGATAGAGAAGGATTCTTTACTCTTATTATTCCCACCCCCAGCCTCTATAGAATTAATGAGCCTTAATGAATGACAGAAACTCATTACTGAGACAGAGGTGAGTTATCCAGAAATCTCAACCATTCAGAACACAGCTCAGAACCAAGAAAGACATTATTTTCTTTTTTAGTGCAAAGAGCTGGTTGTTCACAGCCTGCATGAAGCAGTCAAGACACGGGGCCTGTTACTTTATCATTCCATATTCTGCTAATTAGCAAATTTTAGAATGAGAGACTAGAAGTTTTGAGTCAAATGTAACAGGGGTGAATGTAAAGTACTGCCGTGGGTTTTATAGACTAATTCTGGAAGTTCAAGAGAGGGCAGATGTAGCTTAACAGCAATTCATTTGACAAAGAACTGGGAACTTGAGTTGTTTATGACCTTGATGAGTCTAGCTTATAATGCCACCTACCTGCAATTAGAAGCTATTCTAAACATGATGTCACCAGTTAGACAACAGCTTGGATTTCCTATCTAGGAAGATGGCAACCACATCATATGGCCAATAGTTAAGTAAATGTTTTCAGATACTTGCAGGATTATAACGTAAAAGACAGATTAGTTGTCTCAATCTGTATAATGCTGATGGGTAGCATAATATATAACACTAATAAGAGTCGAGTCAAAGTTACTAGGGTTAAAGTTCCTAGGAAATGAATTTTGTCTTAATGAAAATGAAAAACTTTTAAAGAATTGGCATTTTTAAAAACTGTGGTTCTGTGAGTTAGTGCCTTGCCACTAAAATTATTAAAAAATGACAGGATGATTCTATGTTAAGGTTTCTGTCAAATGCATTTTGTTACTGCATTACAGTTTTGGAGTTGTAATGCAGTAATGCAGGGAATTATATCCAAGTCCCCTTATAAACTTAATACTGTAGCATTCTGTAATATTCTTCCTGATATGGCTACAGGTCCGAATTCTGTAGCTTGGGAATTGCAGTTTAGCATCACTTTATTTTGATCTTCTTAGTTAACAAATCCAAAATCCCATTGGTTAAGATTTTCTATCATATTTATTTATTATTTTAAAAAATATTTATTTTTAGAGAGAGGGGACAGGAAGGAGAAAGAAAGGGAGAGAAACATCAATGTGTGGTTGCTTCTCATGTGTTCCCCACTGGGGACCTGGCCTGCAACCCAGGCATGTGCCCTGACTGGGAATTGAACTAGCAACCCTTTGCTTCACAAGCCCCCACTCAATCCACTGTGCTACACCAGCCAGGGCTATCATATTTATTTATTTTTAATTTGTTTATCTTTAGAGGGGAAGGGAAGGAGAGGAGAGAAATATCAATGTATGGTTGCCTCTCATGGGTCCCCTGCCTCTCATGGGTCCCCTGGCCTGCAACCCAGGCACGTGCCCTGACTGGGAATTGAACTGCGATCCTTTGATTCGCAGGCCTGCATTCAATCCATTGAGCTACACCAGCCAGGGCCTATAATATTTCTTATAAGAAAATTTCTAGAACTCTAGAAGAATCGGGATCTATTACATTCCTTGGCTTGTCACATAAATTTACTAAAAAAAGATTATTTCCAAAAATTGTTTCTAGATACTTTGAAATTATGTCATAATCTCATTCTATAATCTTTGAGTTATAACATGGCTTAAATGAGTTCTTTAAAAATTAATCATTTACATTATATCTCATTTAGGTTTTTTATTGGAGTCTTTGAAAATGTTTCAGTATTAAAAAAATAAAACAATAACCTGTGCTGGGCTTTGTTGGTGCGTAGATGGGAACCTTCTCTTCGCATGACCCCTGACCAGGCCCTCAAGCATGCTTGGATTCATGATGCTCGGAACCTCAAACCACGGCCCCGGCCCCCAACCCTGAGAAAATTCAATATCTATTTTCCTTCTGAGGCAAGAAAGGACAAGGTTCAAAGGCAACACTACTTGGGTAAAAAAGGTACAGCCCCTCAAATAGCCAGTTCTCTTCCCACAGTCCAGGGGTCAGTCATCTGTGGAGGACTGCATGTCAGTTTCTCTAAAGTCAACCTTGGATAAAAAATTATTCTGGCTATATCACTACTGGCCTGCCATTTGTTACTTTTAGTATTGTTCTTTCAGAAAACTTGGTTTTAGCTTTGTTTTGCTCATTATTAGGATTTTTCATTTTTCATCTTACCTTCAATTTCTCCTGCTTTCCTTTTCGGTGTCCTTTTCTGCACCCCTATAATTACCCTTTGAATTTTTGTCAGATTATGGCATTAGTCAAACATCTTTTATGTGCAAATCTCCTACTGGTTATGTACAGGGTCATTGGAGTCAAGTTACCTGGAATTAAATTCAGGCCTTATTATTTACCAGGTATAGGCACTTGGTCAGCTTACTTACCTCTCTGTATCTCAGTTTCTCCATTTATGAGAATGAGAATAATGCCTATTTTCTATGGCTGTGGAGAAAGCATCAAATGAATTAGTAAATGTGAAGTGCTTATAATAATGCCTGGCACGCAGAATGTGCTTTGTAAATGAATTGCTTTTATGTCATTACAACCAGGATTCCCCTGCTAATGGATGGTTAATGGGCGGTTAGAATTTAATTCACATTTGAACAACTTGTTCTTTGTCTTCTCTCTCCTTCAGCAGATGTGATTATCAAAGAAGAGACTAGAGACAAAATACAAGATGGTACCACTAAGGCTCAGAATTCAGGTGATCAGCAGGGCACTCTCCAGAACACAGCTGAGCTTGTCCAACTGCCTCATATAGCAGGAGTGTTCAGTAAACCAGAGGCAGTTGTCAAGCCAGAGGAGTCCAAGATCTCCACAGAGCAACAAAGCAAAAACTCCTCCCCCAAGAACACAAGCATCTTACCACCTATTGTATGACCTCTGCTGAGGGTGTGTCCTGTTCCTTTTCACCAATGATTTGTATTAGAGACCACACTTATATTGTACAATACTTCAGATTATTGTTTTTAATGCATAAAGGTTTGTTTAAAAATCAGCAACAACAAAACCACAACTCTAGTCACATGGCCAGTTGGCATGGTTTCTGACATAGATGGAAGAGGATGTCCTTGCATCTTACATTCCCTCCTTATGCCCTCAACAAGATAAAACAATACGTGCATATATCGGGAAGGGTGGGGAGAATTAAATACTCAGTTATATAATCACTAATAGAACTATGATTTTTATTTTTACCCAAGGTAGGATTCTTATTTGATAATGACAGAAGATAAATTCAAAATAGTTTCAACAACAAAGGACATTTATCAGTTTATGTAATTGGGGAATCAGAAAGGGTAAGTGTAGTTTCAGGCACAGCAGGATCTAGGGATTCAAACAAGGTCACAGGGCTCAGACTCCCTCTCCATCTTAGCCTTGCTTCTTTTTATGGTTAACTTTCTGAAGATAAGCTCTGCTCAGAAGTTAGATGACCACTATCATCCAGTCAAAATATGCAATCTTCCTTGGGAACAGGGGGGGTCTTAGAAATGATTGGACTTAAACCAATCCCTATGTCTGAGACATTGGGGTCCTCTGATTGGCCAGTCTGGGTGACAAGGCCACATTAAGGAGGTTGTAGTGATGGTAGCATCCCATCTGATGCTTCTCGAGGATCACAGTAGCAGAAGGTGTTTGTTCATCCACCACTTCCAAAGTCTAAGTAAGTTCATTTATTTTGCCTTTCTAGTCCTTATCTAATGAATAAATAATCTCTGTAGGGTTGTAATTATAGTGGATAAAATTTTACAAGAAACTAAAGATTATAACATAATTTTAATCACTTTGTAATATTCTATAAAGAGAGACATCAGATAATTGAAGCTATGGGTTTGGATGAAATCACCCAGGGAAGATAATACAGACTGAGAATAGCAGAGGGTCAAGAGAAAGTCCTAGAAAAGATAAATATATAAGGGTTGATAAAGTTTAGTAGAGTCCCAAAGAGACGCAGAAAAATGGGATATTAGAAACTAGAAAGTTTACAGAAGGAAGGATCAAGAATATAAAATTCCACAGAAAGGTCAGAATAAGAACAGAAAATGTTTCTTAAATGGGGTGATACGGACATTAAGTCACAGCAGTATCATAATAGGTAATTTGTCCTATATCCTATAACCAGAAAGGTATATAACTGGAAATAAAATTCAGGTCTTCTGGACCTCTTGACATCAGCTGTCTTCAACCATGGATAAACTTGAGGTGGACAGTTGTTTTGCTCTTGAAGACAAATCTTTGATACCATAGTCAGAATGATTTGGGTTGACTATCAGAAAATATTTCCCAATTTGCATGGTTGAAAAAGGCTGAATGAGTTGATAAATTATGGCTTCTTATTTTTAGGGAATACTTGAAGGCGGGGGGCTGCAAGTTGTGACACAGGTCTAGGGACCTTTGTCAGAGTTCTCAGTCCACCATTATTTTTCTTTTGCTATTCGTCTGATTATTTTTTCATTCCTGAAATTCCTTTACCTTTTTGCCCCATTGATCCCAAGGAAACCATACACTTGGAGCACTTTAATTGTAATGTTTTTTATTTTATGTCCTTGCTCGCATGGACAGGAAAATCTGCAAAATCCAGTGACTAGCATAAGATGACATGTCTTTCATGTGAGTGGGATGAAGATAATGTTAGGGCTCTGTGAGGATATAGAGAGAGGAGCTGTGGAAGTGAGAAAGAAGGGGAGGGAAAAGGGCCGAGCCGACTGCTGGAAGAGGGGAAAGCACTGGGTGGGCGCCCATCACAAGTTCTCCATCAACCAGTCCAGCAGCTGCAGCCGTGTGACATTCCCCACTGCCTCATCCAGCTGTCGCTCCTTCTCATAGCGTAGCACTGACTGCAGAACCTCACCTACGCTGCGTCCTTTTTCCACCGCAGCAGCTGAGAGCTGAAGTAGCTGCGGAAAGGAAAGAAAGCAGTAGTGGAGGGGCAGAACGTCTCATAGCAGGCTAGTAAGGTGCTGCCAAGGCTAGAACAAAGAGGTCAGGTAGACTTTCAGAAACTTCAGCAAAACAGGCTCTATAATTAAATGTTGAGAAGACTTCCTTAATTGTAAAGTTTGCTGGCCTGCTTGGCAGAAGAAATTTGGTTGTATCACCCTTAATTTAAAGAAAAGATGTTAAAATCCACCTGTCGATGATATGGAAAATATGATTTCCTACTAAGAGTAAAATCTTCCTGCTTCCAGTGGCTGTTTGGTCAATGGTGTTCTTGCTTTCTAAGAATTCTAGTGTTCTTAAGTTCACTGTAATATCAAACAGTCCCCATCATTGTCCCAAGATCAACAAGGGATATGTCAAAGGACAAAGGTGGATGCTGTCCCTTGCTCCACAGACCAGAGACCCCTGGAATGTCAGAGCAGGAATGCAGTTCAAAGATCCATTCAACCCCCATGAAAACGTCTCCCAAAGAAGTGAAGAGACTTGCGACACAATGCTAGAAATTAGCAGAGGCAAAATTCATACCCAGGTCTCTGAACCTGATGTTTAGTTTTATCAGGTATAAAATGAGAAAATTTATGCAGACCAACCACTCTAATATGAACATAGTAAATTGCCATTTATCTGGAATCTTAGCAGCAACAAACTAAAGTAACCCAAGTTTTATTTTGTGCATTATGCACCTGATTCCATGATAAAAAGTCAAAGAGCAAATAAACAGGCCAAATATCAGGAGCTCTTTCAGAAGGAGAAATTTCCATGTGAGAAACCAAAGTATATGCAAATACTGTTGACACAAATGGAAATACAGAAAGTCTTGATAAAAGAAGCTATAAAGAAGAACCAAAGGGAAATTGTAGAAAAAAAATCCAAAATGAAAACTTATTGGATGGGTAAATAGAGAGAAACACCAATAAATTAGGAGACAGAACAACAGAAATTAGCCGCATTGAACAATATAGGATTGATTAAACTTATTTAAAATGATTAAAAAATAAGTAGACTTCAGGGGTCTGTATGACAATATTAAAATGTTTTATATTTATGTCATTAGAATCCTAGAAGGAGAGGGGGAAAAGGGTGGTACAGAAAAAATACTTGAAGAAATAATGAATGAAAGCTTTCCTAATTTGCCACAAGAAGCTCAGTGAACCTGAAATAAGACAATCCTGAAGAAATTCAGGTGTGAATTTCTTTAATTTCAATGTCTCTGGTTATATTTTGCTTGCTTGTTTGTTTTGTTGATTAGGTTCCACTTATAGGTGAGACTGTCACCTCAATAAATTCAATAAAAAGGAAAAAAATAAATTCACTTTAAGACTTGCTGTAATCAAATTGGTTAAAATTAAAGAAAAAGAAAAAATCAAAAGCAGCCATAGAGAAATGGCACATTATCTGGGAACAATAAATTGAGTGACAAGAGATTTCTCAACGGAAATCACAGAAGCCAAAATGATTTAAAAGCACTAAATGAAAAGAACTATCAAAGCAGAATTCTATATCCAGTAAAAATATACTTCAGCAATAAAGGCAAAATAAAGAAAATTTTAGATTAAAAAAAACTATGAAGCCCTGGCTAGTGTGGCTCAGTGCATTGAGTGTGGGGCTGTGAAGCAAAGGGTCACTGGTTCGATTCCCAGTCAGGGCACATGCCTGGGTTGCAGGCCAGGTCCCCAGTAGGGGACGCATGAGAGGCAACCACACATTGATATTTCTCTCCCACTCTTTCTCCTTCCCTTCCCCTCTCTCGAAAAATAAATAAAGAAAATATTTTTAAAAAATGTTTTATGATTGAAATAAAATATAACATTTGTCTAAAAGTTTTTAATATGTGTAAATTAAATACATGAAAACTACAATATAGAGGGAAGTGTAAAGGGGACTAAATGGTAAGATGTCTATATTCCAGTTTAAGTGGCAATTATTTATCCTACATAGACTCTGAAAAGTTAAGTATGTACATTGTCATTCCTGAAAAAACCACTAAAAAGCTACACAAAGAGATGTAGTCAAAAATACAATAGATAAAAATGGAATGCTAGGGGGACTTCCACCAAGATGGAGGCATAGGTGGAAGCACTGTACCTTCCTGCACAACCAAGTTTAAAAACAACAAAGTTTTAGCAACAAAAATGCAGCCAAACCACAGAAAGTTGAACTACATGGAAGTCTGACAGCAACGAACACTTCAGCCAAACTGGTAAGAGGGGCAGAGCCAGCAGCAGAGTGGGGTCAGGCAGGAAATATCCACCAGACTGACCCAGTCATACAACCCAGGTGCACCAGCAGCTGTGGGCGGATCCCAGGTGTGGAGTAGTGGGCAGACCCACTGAGGGCTGACCATGGTCACACATTCGAGTGCAGATAAACCGGTGAAGGAGCAAGCAGTGAGACGGACCTCGCAGGCTCCAGTGGCGGGAAGCGGCAGAGGAGACGGCTATTGTCCCTCTCTGACCCTACCCCCACATACAGCCTCACAAACCAGCGACATGGGTGGCCCTGCCATGGTGAACACCTAAGGCTCCACTCCTCATACGTAACAGGCAGGAATAGATCAAAACATGGCTCAAGAACAACTCAGAGCCCCAGAGCCAATAAATCTAAGCGAGCAAGAAACAGCCAAACTTTCAGATGCACAGTTCAAAACACTGGTGATCAGGATGCTCACAGACTGGTTGATTTTAGTCACAAATTAGAGGAACATATGAAGGCTAAACTAATTGAAATGAAGGGAAATACACAGGAAACCAATAGTAATAGAAAGGAAACTGGGACTCAAATCAAAGGAGTGGACCAGAAAGAGGAAAAAAATGACCAAACAGAAAAATATGAAGAAACAAGAATTCAAAAAAATGAGGAGAGGCTTAGGAACCTTCAGGACATCCCTAAACGTTCCAACATCCAAATTCTAGGGGTACCAGAAGGGGAAGAGGAACAGGCACCAGTGGAAAACTTATTTGAACAAATAAAGGAGAACTTCCCCAATCTGGCAAAGGAAATAGACTTCCAGGAAATCCAGGAAGCTCAGAGTCCCAAAGAAGTTGGACCCAAGAAGGAACACACCAAGGCACATCATCATTACATTAGCCAAGATTAAAACGAAGGAGAGAATCCTAGAAGCAGCAAGAGATAAGGGTACAGTCACCTACAAAGGAGTCCCCATCAGACTGTCAGCAGATTTCTCAAAAGAGTCTTTGCAGAGTACATGCCTTGTGTTCTAGGTTCATGCATTCATTCATTCATTAGATATTTCTTGGGTACCTACTATGTACTAGCATGGTTCTATTCATTGGGGATACACAAGAAATAAAACCCCCAAGTTTTGTGGGAGCCTATATTCTAGAGAGGGTGACAGAAAAATGAACAAGTAAAATAAATAGCCTTTTAGGAAAGGTGTCCAAGTTAGTGTTGCCAAACCCAGTAATGAAGCTTGCCTCAAAACTTTATTTAATTGATGGCAAAATACTTTAAAATCTTTAAGTAAAACAAATATTCTCATGTTAAAATTCTACCATTTACAACATGTTGAAACATGTCTCTATACTAGTTAGTACCCAGGTGGCATGGCTTAGGCTGGTCAATAAATGCAATATCTTGAGTGTTTGTATAGATAATCCTGGTTTTGGTCACCATCACTTTGTACACAGTATATAATGAAACAGTTTTTTTTCCTGTGGCTTCTAATTGACTCTGAATTTCTCTAGAGCTGTTCCAAAAATATTTGAACAGTGGACGTCTCATTAGAAGCATGTGACATAATCTTAAAAGCTGACCACTTTCCAGAACAATTTGTATTTGGATGTTTATTTAGAAAACCAAATTAATAAAATGATCTTACGACTTAAAAGAAAAAAAAGAAGGGGCTGGAAAGAAAGATTCCAAGTCATGAAATCCAAAGACCTACATCCAAGATTGATCTATCCAGCAAAGCTTTCATTTAGAATGGAAGGGCAGATAAAGTGCTTCTCAGATAAGGTCAAATTCAAGGAGTTCATTATCACCAAGCCCTTATTATATGAAAAGTTAAAGGGACTTACCTAAGAAAAAGAAGATAAAAAAGATGAACAGTGAAAGGACAGCAAACTCACAATTATTAACAACCACACCTAAAACAAAAGCAAACTAAGAGGACAGCTAGATCAGAAGTGAACCATAGAAATGAAGATCACATGGAGGGTTAGCAACAGGGGAGTGGGAGAAGGAGAAGGGGGGAGAAGGTACAGAAAATAAGCAGCATAGACTGTAGGTAGAAAATAGGGGGGAGGGCAAGAATAGTATGGGAAATATAGAATCTAAAGAACTTGAGACACGTGGTCATAAACTAAAGGGGGGAATAGTGGGGGAGGGGTGTACAGGGTGGAGGGGAATGAAGGGGGGAAATAGAACAACTGTAATGGCATAATCAATAAAATATATTTTAAAAAAGAAGAAAAAAAGTAGACCTAAATTTAAACGTATCAATGATTTGACTAAATGTAAGCAGTCTAAACATACCAATTGTCAGAATTAATAAAAATGACCCAACTATACTTTGCCTATTAAAAAAACTCACTTCAAATGATATAGGTAAGTTTAAAGTAAAATTTTGAAATAAGATGTACCATAAAAATAGCAATCAAAAGAAAGCTTGAACCTCAATATTCATGACCAATTAATTTTTTTATAAAGGGAAAAATAATTCAAAAGGGCCAGGTATCCATTTTTATTTCCAACGAATGGTGTTGAGACAACTGTAAAAGAATAAATTAGACCCTTACCTCATATCATACATAAACATGAACTCAAAATGGATCACAGCCTAAATATAAGAGCTGAAATTGTAAAATATTTTAAAATAAAAAAGAGAAAATTTTCATAACTTCGTGTTAGGTCAGTGTTTCTCAATCTGACAATACTGATCTTTTAGATCAGATTATTCTTTGTTGTGGGATTGTCCTGTGCACTGGAGAGTGTTCAG